TAGGGTTTTAGGGTTTTAGGGTTTAGGGGTTTATTGGTTTAGGGGTTTAGGGTTTAACCCTGAACCTGCAAGTTCAAGGAAGTAAGGGCCCACATCAATGCGCCCCTATAACTACCCTGAGATGTTGGGTTATACTTGTAAGAGGCTTGATTTCGAAGACCCACCCGAAACTTGAAACCTCAACCCTAAACCCTAAACCCTAAACCCTAAACCCTGCAAATGGACCTTCGTGGTCCTGCCTCGCCTCAACGCAGCCCCGAATACTTCCAGGATCCCTCCTAAGACCCTATTTGAGTCCCTTAGACTCTAGGGGTTTAGGGGTTTCGGGGTTTCGGGGTTTAGGGTTTTAGGGGTTTAGGGTTTTAGGGGTTTAGGGGTTTAGGGTTTTAGAGGTTTAGGGGTTTTTGGGTTTTTGGGTTTTTAGGGGTTTAGGGCTTTAGGGGTTTAGGGGTTTAGGGTTTTAGGGTTTAGGGTTTTAGGGTTTTAGGGGCTTTAGGGGTTTAGGGTTTTAGGGGTTTAGGGGCTTTAGGGGTTTAGGGGTTTTTAGGGTTTTTTAGGGGTTTTTAGGGGTTTAGGGGTTTAGGGCTTACCCCGCACCTGAACCCGCGAGCCCTTCGACCTTGAGCTCAATAAAGCCCAGAAAGCCCTAAAGGGTTTAGGGTTTAGGGTTTAGGGTTTATAGGGTTTAGGGTTTAGGGTTCAGGGTTCAGGGTTTAGGGTTTAGGGTTTGGGGTTTATAGGGTTTAGGGTTTAGGGTTTAGGGTTTATAGGGTTTAGGGTTTAGAGTTCCCTCGCCACAACCCCAAGTCCGCGCCGGGGGGTCTCCAGGCTGCGTTTGCAGGGCTCCGTGGGCTTGAGGTTTGTAGGGTTCAGGGCTTCAGGGCTTGAAGTCAGAGCCTCCAAGTAGCTGATCAGCGGTGTAGGGGTTTTGAGAGATTTCTTGATCCGGAGCATCCTGCACCTTTGGGGGTTGGCCATGGCGTGGCAGTGGACCATCGCGGCCACGAGGTGGTACGATGAAAGCTACTGGTTGGCGCACTGCACAGAAGAGCGGGTGGAGACCACAACGTCGACGAGATGTTTCCTAGCTCCTTTTCAGGACCAGGGCATCATGTCCCCCAACGGTGCGATGGGTCTTTTGGATGCATTCAAAACATTCAAGTTTGGTTTGGCAACATCCGGGCAATGACGCTCCAGGGTCACTTGCCTGAGACTGAACACCTGGAACCTTGAAAAGCTGGCTCCATGTGGATCCTAACCCCAATCCCTAAACCCTGAATCCCAATCCCTGCAACCCAAACCCTAAAGCCCAAACCCTAAACCCCAAACCCCTAATCCCCAAGCCCCCAAACCCCCAAACCCCCAAACCCCCAAACCCCCAAACCCCCAAACCCCCAAACCCCCAAACCCCAAACCCTAATCCCCAAACCCCCTAAACCCCCCCAAACCCCTAAACCCCAAACCCCTAATCCCCAAACCCCTAAACCCCCTAACCCCTAAATCCCAAACCCCTAATCCCCAAACCCTAAACCCTAAACCCCAAACCCTAAACCCCAAATCCTAAACCCTAAACCCTAAACCCCAAACCCCCAGGTGCCCTACAAGGACAATCACGCTCGCCAGCGGTGAGGAGGCCCAAGCCTCGGTTTTGGGGGTTTAGGGTTTAGGGTTTAGGGTTTAGGATTTGGGGTTTAGGGTTTAGGGTTTAGGGTTTAGGATTTAGGTAGGGGTTTGGGGATTTCGGGGTTTAGGGTTTAGGGTTTAGCTCTAGGTTTACGAAGGAAAGAATAGGGACATTTTATGGGGCAGCTGGTATGTTGAACAGCTACCACATGACACATGGTGACTTCCCGGAGGGTTTATGTTTCCCTGCCATTGGTGAGCATAAAAACTTGGTAGCCCTATGCCCTTTTTTTGGCTCAAGGTTCCCTTATAAAGTAGCCAACCACAAAAGGCTACCCTTATTGTATTATGGCTACTGGGCTACCAAGTATATGGGTTCCTTTTATAGATATGAGTATGTTGGGTATCCTTCTTGTGGGCTATGATACGAGCCTTTATGGGTTTCAATTCATGGGAAGCGGGGTGGGGGGGGGGGGGGGGGTGGGTGGGTGGGTGGGGGGGTGCTATTTTCAAGATCCTTCTATACTCCCTCAGAACCCCCTGGTGCCCTCAGGGTTTATAGGCTTCTGGGTTCAGGGTTCAGGGTAAACCCTAAACCTCAAACACTAAACCCCAACCTCCAAACCCCAAACCCAAAACCCAAATCCCTAGACCCTACCCCCCAAACCCTGAACCCCAAACCCTCCCCCTCCCACGAACGCCCCTCCCTGAAGAACCCCACAATACTACTAACTGCTTAAGCAAACAACAAATATTCTTCCTTGTTAAGGTTAATATAGGGATCATTATTGTATTTGTTTGTTACATTTTTGAGGGTTCTTAAGCAAACAGATGATAAGCGCAGGTGACGATGGCCGTGGACATGGCAACCTGCCAGGCAGTGCCTGCTTCAGGGTTTAGGGCTTAGGGTTCAGAGTTTAGGGGTTTAAGGGTTAGGGTTTAGGGGCACTTTTGAGTCTTAGGTCTGTTGTTGCCTTGGGGGTTGGTTTTTTTCGGGGGGCTTTCAGGCTCGTAAAGAGCAATAGGTTTGCGGGCTTGCAGAGATTCTGGGGTTTGAGGCTTGGGGAGTAATTCACCAGTCCAGTTTCCCTTAACGGAATCTGCGTCCGCAGGCGAATTCCCTAGAGAAAACCCCGCAGTGCCGAAAAGGTCGGAAGAAGGCGCAGAGGTTTCCATCATCCTGTTGCAATATGCAGCTGGGCACACCTGGCCCTCTCAGCCCCCCCTGGTAAGGCCCCAAAAAAAACCCCTAAACCCTAAACCCTAAACCCCGGGCACCTTCCGCAGCTGCGACACTTTATCAAGGTCAAGGGCAGCGCCGATCGTCCCCCCAAAAACCCCCCCGGTTGCCCTCCCAATGGGCTGCGGAGCTGGAACCCATGCCTCGGCTCCCGTGCACCCGATGCCTGCCAGTCCATCTCTGGCAGCAGCTGGGCGGTGAAATGAAGAAATTGAACCCTTAGAAACCCTTTGTAGGGAATAAGGTTTAATCAGGGTTTGGGGGGGTTAGGGTATCAACCCTGAAAAACTCTGTAGGGAAGGAGGGTTTCATCGGGGTTTAGGGTTTAGGAATTAGGTTTCATGATCTTCTGACGAGGCTTCCTCACCGGCATTGTGATTCCTCTCTGCCTCTTTGCGACTCAATCCCCTGTGCTATCCGCAATATTCTTTCTACCAAGTGTAGGGATTGTTGTCTTTCATTTGTTGTGGGTCTTGGGCAACTTGTAGCACATGTGCCTGAAGGAATCCACTATGCAAAAATTCTGGAAACCCCTGCTTCCGCGAGCCGCGCGGACATCATCCTCTAAGCCCCAAGTGGGTTCAGAAGCCCTAAACACTACTGGCTCAAAACCCAGCTTTTCAACTTTTGGGCTTCTTATAAGGTAGTTTATGCTGAAAGTTTCAACTTTTATTTCCTTGGGTTTTGGGCCAGTAAGCTAAACACTAAATCCCAAACCGCATCGCCCTTGTTCGCTGGGGATTCCCGGAAACAGCCCTGAACCAGGGGCCAGGGGGTTTGGGGTTTGTGTGGGGTTAGGAATTTCGCGTGACTCCCAAACCCTACCACATGGTGGGCCATAACCCCTAAAATATAGGGCATAACCCCCAAAGTCGTAGGTAAGTGGAGCCCTAAACCCTAAACCCTAAATCCTAACCCTAAACCCTAAACCGGTTTAGGAAGCCGTGAACCATCCCAGGTGATCCCTGCACCTCCGAACACCCCGGACTCACCGCGGTCACCAAAGGACCGGTCCGGCAGCACAAATGCTGAGCATGGTAGGGTTTAGGGTTTAGGGTTTAGGGTTTAGGGTTTAGGGTTTAGGGTTTAGGGTTTAGGGTTTAGGGTTTAGGGAATCAAGTCGGCCAGGGAATGCTTAGGGTTTTAGGGTTTAAAGAGTTTATTGGGTTTCTGGGGTTTATAGGGTTTAAAAGCTTAAAACCGGAAGTCTATCTTAACTCTTTGCCTAGTTGCCATGTTTAAGGGTACGTACATAGGGGCTTAGGGTTTAGGGTCTAGGGTTTAGGGTTTAGGGGTACTTCTATGGAGGACTTAAAAGGGGCCTGCGCTGAAACTGACGAAGCACAAAGTTTCGCAGACCTGAAAGCAGACTCTAGCTAAACCCCGAGATGAAGTTCTGCCCTTGTACTATAGACACAATGTAATGTAGTAGATAGTGCGTGTATATTACATATGATATTTCTATGCTATATTAAAGGTTTTACCCTAGAAGTTATACCACCTGTTTTAGTCTGTATATATGTGCATGTATGTATGTGTGAGTTTTGTTCTTATGAAGCATACGAAGCCGCTCCAAAACAGGAGCTACACTTAGGATGGTGATGCCCAAGAGCCCAGCACGTGACTCGGGGTTTAGGGTTTAGGGTTTGGGGTTTAGGGTTTAGGGTTTAGGGTTTAGGGTTTAGGGTTTAGGGTTTAGGGTTTAGGGTTTTGGGTGCAGCACCCAACCTGCATAGTGTGAAGGAGTCTGCATCTCTTCAGCCCAAAACGATCACAAGCCCGACTAAAGACTCTACTCTACTACATTCCCCTTGGGAATCATTTTTTCTTCATATAAAACCCAAAAGGATATTAAAAACATATTTTTTTGAGGTTCTAAGGGGGGGTGTACTCTAGAAAGCCCCAAAGAATATGTCATGTTTTCGTTTCCGACCCCTTGACCCTAAACCCTGAACCCCAAACCTACAAAGGCCCCAAAGAATATGTCACGTTTTCGTTTCCGAAGCCTTGACCCTAAACCCTGAACCCTGAATCCTGAACCCCCAACCCTGAACCCTAAACCCTGAACCCTAAACCCTAAACCCTAAAGCCTAAACCCTAACCCCTAAGCCCTAAACCCTAAACCCTAAACCCTAAACCCTTAACCCTTAACCCTTAACCCTTAACCCTTAACCCTAAACCCTAAACCCTAAACCCTAAACCCTAAACCCTAAACCCTAAACCCTACCCACCTGTTAAGCTCAGGAGCCCTCCTCCATTCCCATGAGCAGCAGTGAAGGCGCCGGTGCAACGAGTACCTGGGCCGCAGTTCGAACAGGTTTTGGGGCTTTGGGGGGATTGGGGTTTTGGGGTTTTAGGGTTTTGGGGTTGTGGGGTTTGTGGTTTAGGGTTTCGGATGGTTTAGGGTTTCGGGGTTTAAGGTGTAGTGTTTAGGGTTTGGGCGGGTTTGGGTTTTAAGGGCCTAGGGGTTTGAGGCTCAATTTGGGCTGTTTGGGGTATCAAGGGGACCTTGGGCGTATTTTTCGGGTTTCAGGTTTTTCGCGTTCTCGGGTTTACAGGGTTTCAGATCGGTCCTCTACCCCTCCCCCCCCCCCCCCCATCGAAGACCCAAAGGAGGCAGGGAGGCAGGGGGGCTACTTGGGAATACCCTTGGGGGAGCCTTGGGGGGAAGCCTGAAGTGGTTTTAGGGTGGGCTTAGGGTTTAGGGTTTAGGGTTTAGGGTTTAGGGTTTAGGGTTTAGGGTTTAGGGTTTAGGCTGGTAGGGTTCGAGTTTAGGGTTTCGAGCCTGCAGGCGCCGAAGGATTTCCCAATGATGACGCGAAAGACCCTGAAGCCCCTGAACCTGAAAGCCATAAACCCTAAGCCCTAAACCCTAGCACGCTTTGCCTGCTGAGATGTACATGACCGTTGTTTTGTTTTAGAATATTTCGCGAGTCCCAATTTTCCCTGCCAGGTGACCCCGAATCCTGGCGGACGAGGCCCCTTCACCGGATCTATAGCTTGGGGTTCAGGGGTTCAGGGAATGCGGGGCTTTGAGGTTTTGGGGGTTTGCGGTTTAGGCGTTTAGGGGTTTAGGGGTTTAGGGGTTTAGGGTGTAGGGTTTAGGGTTTAGGGTTTAGGCGGCTCAAAGGGCTTCAAGGGCCTGTAGGGGGCTTGAGCATCCTGGACTGGGATGCTGGAAGTCCCTGCAGACCCAAGACCCTTTCAAGGTACCCCCGGGGTGCTCAGTTTTTAGGGTTTAGGGCTAGGGTTCAGGGTTTGTAGGGTTTAGGGTTTAGTATTTAGGATCTAGTGTGTCGGATTAGAAAGGGATTTGACAAATGAATCTTTTTGAGACAACTAGCTAGGTCCCTCGAAACAAGGGTTTTAAGTTCTGGGCTCACGTTTTGTCCCAGACCCAAGAAGCCCCGAGCCGCATAGAAACACACTGGAAACCCGAAACCCCACAAGCCGTGGTTTAGGGTTTAGGGTTTAGGGTTTAGGGTTGAGCGTTTAGGGTTTAGGGTATCCCTGAACACAAGAGGCCCTAAACCCCAAAGCACTGACCCTATGGAATAAACCCGGGACGTAAGAAGCCCTCAGCCCCAAATCAAACCTAAACCCTACTCCCCCAATACGGGGGTCGGAAGAACTACCCATGATATTCCCTTATAGTCCCTTCGTAAGTATACGATAATACCCCCCCCCCCCCCCAAACCCTGTTGCAAGTATTAAGGCCCCTATATGAGCGCTCATATGAAACGACTACAGCAACCTGGAAGCCCCCAATCATCAGGTGGAAGAGCTCAAAGTATAGGAGCTCATGGGAGTCGATCACCGACCCCAACGAGGCAGAATTAAGGTTTTCAGGGCTTAGGGCTTGTATATTGGGTTGGTGGTCTCTCTAAGTAGGGTTTCTGAACTGACAGGGCCTTCTATTCGGGGTTCTTATTGGGGTATCTAGGGACTATACTAAGGTATAGGTAACAGATAAAGAGGCCACCGACCTATATAACCTATCAACCCTAAACCCTAAACCCTAAACCCTAAAGGGCTGGGGGTTAAGGGCTTAGGGTTTGGGGCTTAAGCGCCTCGAGTTCCTAAGACGTGCCAAAAACTGCGCACTTTGTGAGCGGGGCTGCACTTGTTTTGCTTCGGTGCAGCTTGGCTTGGCTTGGCTCAGGGTTTTTGGCTCGTGGTCAGGGTTTAGGGTTTAGGGTTTAGGGTTTAGGGTTTAGGGTTTAGGGTCTAGGGTTTAGGGTTTAGGGTTTATAGGGTTTTCTGTCTTTGGGGCGCCGTGGCTTGGCCTGGCCCTTCCGTGTGGCTTGGCTTGGATCAGCTTGGCTCGGCCTTGTTTGTTCTTTTGGTGCGCCTACCCTAAACCCTAAACCCTAAACCCTAAACCCTAAACCCTAAACCCTAAACCCTTGGTTTTCATGGGTTTCCCTACTACCCCGCCTCTAGACTGCCCTGCTTAAGGCTCCCCCCCTGAAAGAACCCGTAGTTAAGCTTAGCTATCCCTTTGAATCGCCTCAATGAATTGTCGGGGCAGGGTTTAGGGTTTAGGGTTTAGGGTTTAGGGTTTAGGGTTTAGGGTTTAGGGTTTAGGGTTTAGGGTTTAGGGTTTAGGGTTTAGGGTTTAGGGTTTAGGGGGGGGC